GGGGGGGGGGGGTAAGTGCTTAATGGGCATGGGGGTTCCATTTGGGGTTGATGAAAATAACACCGGGTGGAAATCTCTGACCTCTCCTATTTAAAGATGGCAGAAGGCAAGGTAGAATGGGTTTGAAAACATAAAACACGTCTTTCTTTCATTCATCATTGCATCTATGAGTCGGACCTTATTTTCATTGCTGTATAATATTCTCTTGCGTGACTGTTCTACACTTGACTTCTCCATTCTCGTACAGTTAATGCATATCGAGGTTTTTCCCACTGAGGGGTCATTAAAAGCAACGCTACTTTTCTGGGATGAGGCATAGAAAATCCCACATTGGATCTTCCAGGGTGATGAGGAAGCAACATACTCCAGAAGGTGTAGCTACTAGGTGGTGAAGCCTCTGTTATCATAGCTTTCGGAGTGAAGGTGTGGAATAGAATGTGGTTCCATCTATGTCAAGTTTAAAACCAGACACAACTTGGGGCGCCTGCGTGGCTCAGTCTGTTAAGCGCCTGAATTTGGCTCAGGTCATGATCTCACGGTTCGTGAGTTCCAGCCCCACCTCAGGCTCTGTGCTGACACCTCAGAGCCTGGAGCCTGCTTCGGATTCTGTGTCTCCCCCTCTCTCTGCCCCCCCTCAAAAATAAATAAACATTAAAAAAAATTTTTTTTAAACAGACACAACTGGGGCACCTGGGTGGCTCAGTCAGTTAATCGCCCAACCCTTTTTTTCAGCTCCCATCATATCCTCGCGGTTTGGGAGTTCAAGCCCTGCATCAGGCTCTGCACTGGCAGTGCTTGGGAGTCTCTCTCCCTCTCTCTCTGCTCCTCCGCTGCCTGCACTCTCTCTCTCTCAAAATAAATAAACTTTAAAAAATCTAAAAACAGACACGACTAAACCATGTTCTCAGGGGTTGCGTACTTAGGTGGTAAAACTATAAAGATAATCAGGAATTGCTTATCCTAAAAGGACCACGGTTACCTCTGGGGGAGAAGGTGGTTTGCAATTGGAAAGAGCTTCTGGGATAATGTCTACAGACTAATGATCTCACCAACCATTTAATAATTATGGATCATGTGATACACGTGTGTGTGTGCTCTTTTCTATATGTGCATTATATTTCACAATTTTTAAGGTTAAAAAAACACAGAGGATTAAGAAATTCTATAAAGTGACATTGAAATAAGTGAAAATCCCCATGTGATTATAAGAGACGGCAACTGTCATTTCCCACCGGTGAGTCTCGCTTGAGTCTGCGTGGCTCATCAGACTTGTGGCTCCTGTCTTTAAGGAGATGAGCCCCAAGAGCTGAATTATACAGAAGTCTTAGTTTGGGATCTCCTGTAAACAGATCCTGAGACAAAAAATTTGAGGGCAAGTAGTTTTTCTGGGAAGCGACCCCAAGACACATCAGTAGGACAGTAGGGAGGTGAGACAGAGAAGAGAAGGCAGCCAGTAAGCGGTGTGTTAAAGAGGAAGTTACTGGGGCACCTGGGTGGCTCAGTCAGTTTGATTTCTGCTCAGGTCATGATCTCAGGGTCGTGAGATCGAGTCCCACATCGCACTCCCCCCCGGGAAGGCAGCCTACTTAGGATTCTCTCTCTCCCTCTCCCTGTGTCCCTTCCCTTCCCTCTAAAAGAGAGAGGCGGGGAGAGGGAGGGGGAGAGAGAAAGTTACCAACATGGACAACTGGGACTCAATCCCATTGGGTACTCCTGGGAGATATCCTAGAACATGCATTTCAGAGCCTTCCCACATAAAGGTGAGGGAGCTGGGATATTTATCCACCAATGCCATAACTTGTATTGTTTGAGGGCAGCTTCTAGGGGTATTAACATCCTGGTACTTGTGACCCCTCTGGCATGTCCAGGCATGCTCCTGTGGCAGGAGAAATAGTCTCGGGCAGGGTCACTGGATTTCCCAGAAAACGGCCAAAGGGCAGGTAGCAGAGAGCGTGAGGGGCCTCTGCGACACAGGGCTTCCTTTATCACTTGAGTGCAAGACTTAGCCTAGCACATTCTTTCATTTCCACGTGAATCTGCTGTACAACATAGAGTCTATGGTTAACACAGTATTGTGCACTTAAAAACTTGGCAAGAGCGTCGATCTCGTGTTGTTTCTTACCCCAGAAAGAAAAAAGCAAGGGGGACACAGGATCGTGGAGGTGATGGATAGTTTATTACCTTGACTGTGGTGATGGCATCATAGGTCTGTGCCTATGCCCAAACTCATCAAAATGTGTGCATTCAACGTGTGCAATATTTTGTATGTTACGTATACCTCAGTAAAGCCGGGAAGAAGACGACTTAGTCTGACAGACGCTTCTTAAACTCTTATCAACTGGCTTCATGCCTGTGTTTGGGATGCCGCATTCCAAAGGGGGGAAAATTAATCCTGGAGACTGACTGTGATGTCCTCCTCGGTGGGTCCCAGGAGGAGGATCCCGTGCTGGTTGTCATCACCTACGTGGGGCTGGGCCTCTCTCTGCTGTGCCTCCTCCTGGCAGCCCTCACCTTCCTCCTGTGCAAAGCCATCCAGAACACCAGCACCTCGCTCCACCTGCAGCTCTCGATCTGCCTCTTCCTGGCCCACCTGCTCTTCCTCACGGCCATCGACCAGACCAAGATCAAGGTACTGACACTGTCCCAGAGGACCCCCTGCCCTGAGCCACGGGATGCTCAGTTCGTGGAGCCCTGCTGCACTGATACCTTAACACAATATCGTTGGGCGACAGGGAGGCTGGAGGGGTAAATAGCCTATTTCACGTTGACTGATGAAGCAGAAGACAATCCTCTCTCAACAACTCGACCCTATATATATATATATACGAGTTCTCCCCGCTGGCAAGGTATGGGAGGGGTCCTGGGGCCACCCTCCTCCCTGACAGTCCCTCCTGGTGACTCCTTCCTCCTCCTCCAGCTGCTGTGCGCCATCATCGCGGGGGCCTTACACTATCTCTACCTGGCCTCCTTCACCTGGATGCTGTTGGACGGTCTACACCTCTTCCTCACGGCACGCAACCTGACGGTGGTCAACTACTCCAGTGTGACCAGGTTCATGAAGTGGCTCATGTTCCCTGTGGGCTATGGAGTCCCGGCTCTAATCGTGGCCATTTCTGCTGCATCCAGACCTTCCCTTTATGGAACACGTGTTCGGTGAGCTCAACTCTCACCCTGTGCTGTGGACAGTTTTGAGGGCGGTGTTCAGGACCATGATTGGGATATGCATGTCGAACACGCTCTCCTTCCCCTTGGCTGTAACAGCTCTAACTTCTTTCGTGGTGAGACGGAGAAAGGTGACAAGAAGAGTGTGGAAGGTTCTGGAAGGAGGGCATTTGTGGTTAGGTCCCAGCTTCATCGTTCCCATAATTTGGCACCTCGAGTCCTCAGGGCTCAGGCATCAGTGAAATGGGTATAACAGTTGTCCCCACGATCCCACCCTCACAGTGCTGGTCTGAAAACTCAGCAGGACTCTCGGCTTATAAAATGTTTGCGTTAACATGTGGTGGTGAGCGATCAAAGCCCTCACTGTCATCAGCTGACCTTTTCAGGAGATGTTGGAAAAGTGTTAGGAAAAGGTGTTTGTTTCTGATCTCAATTTATGCCCCCTTTCCCATTGTTCCCAGCTGCTGGCTCGACCTGAACCAGGGATTCATCTGGAGTTTCCTTGGCCCCGTCTGTGTGATTATCTGTGTGAGTCTGACTATGGGTCCCGATGTTCCTGACCAAAGAAGAAGCACCACAGGCGTGCTGGGTGCAAGATAGGACAAGGGCAATACATTTTCTCCGTTGTACGAATTGATCTTTCCCCTGGCCACCAATCCAATCCCACAGGCAGGGAGGTAGGATCTGTGTGCCGTTTATAGGGGATACAGTGCGTTACTTTAACTTGCATTCTGCATGGTCTGTGTGATTCCTGCAGGTGAATTTAATATTTTTTATCCTGATCCTTTGGATTTTGAAAAGGAAACTTTCCTCTCTCAATACTGAGTTATCAACCATCCATAATGTAAGGTAAGGTGGGGTAAAGTGTACTTTTTGACCCCTCTTTCTCCTACTCACCTCCCACCGGTCCCTCCTCCATATCCACACACACGTACACCCCACAACCAAGCTTCAGGAGCTAGCAAGGCCACTGCTATCTCCCAGTGTCACAATCTGTGAGACGCTGGATTAGCTGTAGTACAGGCTAAGCTTCAGTAACAAAAAGACCCCCCAAAAGGAGTGAAATTTTCATGTTGCAGTCCGGAGGTGAGCAGTCCACGGCTAGTGGGGAAGTTCTGCCCCACAGAGTAATCCAGAGACTCGAGTCCTTTCTATGTCTATTGTTCCACATCCGCTAGGATGTTGTCTTTGCCAGGATCCCATCCCTGGGAAGAAGTTGCACTTGCCTGCATCTCATTGGCTAGACTTTGATCACATGGTGACACCCACCTTCAAGGCAGGCTGGGAAATGTAGTCTCTAACTGGGTAGCCCTGTGTTCTTGATAAAACTCCGAACGGAAAGGGCTCCAACGCTAAAGTGAAGAACATACGGTGGGCGGGGTGGAAACAGCAATTTCCGCCACATAACACAAGATGCAATAGGTTTGGGAAGGATTTAGACTAAAATATATTTTGTATAATACTATTTCTTTTTTTTTTTTTTTTTAATATTTTTTTTTCAACGTTTATTTATTTTTGGGACAGAGAGAGACAGAGCATGAACGGGGGAGGGGCACAGAGAGAGGGAGACACAGAATCGGAAACAGGCTCCAGGCTCTGAGCCAACAGCCCAGAGCCCGACACAGGGCTCGAACTCCCGGACCGCGAGATCGTGACCTGGCTGAAGTCAGACGCTTAACCGACTGCGCCACCCAGGCGCCCCTGTATAATACTATTTCAAAACATTTGGGGCTGAGGGTACTTTTTCATTTTTTTCCCATTTTATGTGAACATGGAATTTGTTGTTGTTTTCACTGTAGTCACAAAAAAGAGCACGTTCGTCAAGATTTTTTTCAAAAATGTTTAAAATATATGAAGTTAAACCTGAAAGTGGCCAACTCCCCCTTTTCTTTGCTTCTTCCACTTCCCAGGGAAGCCAGAGGTAACAAGCTGTATGATATGTATAATATTTTCCCCAGACCTTTTTCTGTGCATTTTCTATAGAACACACAGGCACACTTACAATAGCATTGCGCTATTCTCCAACTAGCTTTTCTCCAACTAGCTTTTCTCCAACTAGCTTTTCTCGGTTATGCATTACTCCAACTAGCTTTTCTCGGTTCTCCAGCTAGCTTTTCTCCAACTAGCTTTTCTTGGTTCTCCAACCAGCTTTTCTCCAACTAGCTTTTCTCGGTTCTCCAACTAGCTTTTCTCAGTTATGTATTACTATATTTTTTAATTAGGAATATATATGTACATGGGGCACCTGGGTAGCTTGGTCGGTTAAGCATCCAACTTCAGCTCAGGTCATGATCTCACGGTTCATGAGTACGAGACCCACATCGGGCTCCATGCTGACAGCTCGGAGCCTGGAGCCTGCTTCGGATTCTGTGTCTCCCTCTCTGTGCTCCTCCCCTGCTTGCTCTCTCTCTCTCTCTCAAAAATAAATACACATTTTTAAAAAAGGAATATAGGGGCGCCTGGGTGGCGCAGTCGGTTAAGCGTCCGACTTCAGCCAGGTCACGATCTCGCGGTCCGTGAGTTCGAGCCCCGCGTCAGGCTCTGGGCTGACGGCTCAGAGCCTGGAGCCTGTTTCCGATTCTGTGTCTCCCTCTCTCTCTGCCCCTCCCCCGTTCATGCTCTGTCTCTCTCTGTCCCAAAAATAAATAAACGTTAAAAAAAAAAAAAAATTTAAAAAGGAATATATACGTACATACATAAGTAAGGTGACACCACACCCTAGTTTGCCTGAGACAATCCCAGTTTATGCCTGTTGACCCATTGTGATTGCTAATTAACACCACTTTTACCTCAAAATCCTCCCTGGCCGAATAATATACAAATGATATATAAAGCGAGAGATAAAGAGCACCCAGTTTTTTTTAATGCTTGTTTATTTTTGAGAGAGAGAGAGAGCACAAGCGAGGCAGGGGGCGGTGCAGAGGGAGAGGGGGAGCCAGAATCCAAAGCAGAAGAGCACCCGGTTTTTAAATGCCATATGTATGTAGGTACTAATTTTGTTCTATGTACTGTCCTGAATACTTTACATGGGTGAAAGTCCCATGTAAGCTTAGCAGCAGCCCTGTGAAATAGGGCTACTACAAAGAGGAGGGAACTGAGTTATAGAAAGGTAAAGTCGCTTGCCCAAGGTCACACAGCTGGCTAGTTCTGCCTTAGATTTAAACCCAGCCGGTCTAGCTCCAGAGTCCTCACCAGTAACAACTGCACGATAGGGTGTCCGCGTCCATTATTAGCTTCTTCACATCGTTGTGTATGACTCCCCTCAGGATGCTGACACTCAAAGCGATGGCTCAGCTCTTCATCCTGGGCTGCACGTGGTGTCTGGGCCTCCTGCAGGTGGGGCCAGCTGCCCGCGTCATGGCTTACCTCTTCACCATCATCAACAGCCTGCAGGGAGTGTTCATCTTCCTGGTGTACTGCCTCCTCAGCCAGCAGGTAAACACCAACCCCTTTTTTTATTGTCATAAAGTTAGGACATATTTGGAAGTATGTAGTGTCATGAACCCTTGAATCGTTTCAATCTATGTCCTCTGAATTTTCATATAAGCTGTGAGCCATGTGTAAACACTATGTTCTCTCTACTTCAAGATATTCTTGATTATAAGATACATGAATTTATTAACAGCTTTCAGAAAGTAAATAGTTGCTACATCAAGGAAATATGTTTTTCTTCAGTTTTCCCATTTGTAATAGTCAGCTATTGCTGTGTAACAAACGACCTCAAAAATCTCCAGAGCCGAAACACAAACGTTTGCTTTTCTCATTCTCAAGTCTGATTGGGGTTCAGCCGATCTTGTCTGGGCTCAGCTTGGCTTGGTTCTAGAATGTAGATCATGTTCAGGTCTTCTCCTTGAGACTCATCCTGAGGCTTAGCGGAAAGCGAGAAGCTCCCTAGGATCTGTTCTTCTGATGACAATGGCAAAATCACAAGAAGACAAGTCCTGTTGGACAGGGGCCATTTCAAGCCTTGTGGTTCTGCTTGAATCACTTCCACTGATATTGCCTTGGCCAAAGAAAGTCATATGTCCAAGCCCAAAGTCAAGGGAAAAGAACCCTCCACCCACCAGGAGGCTAAGACAGGGTGTAATACTGTGACAGAGGAGTGAATGATTGAAATCTCTAACGCAATCCGCCACACCACTTAAACACATGAATTCTTAATCACATTTCCATGTGATGGGATAGTTTCCATACTAATACGTTTTAATAGTTCTATGACGGCATTAAATAATAAGTTAATCTTTCCAACATGTTATTATGAACATTTTCAAACACACAAAAAGGTTAAAACAATTATGCAATGGACACATATATACCAATCATTTCAATTATCTTTGTGCTATATTTGTTTTGCCACATTGTCCACATATCCATTCTTTTACCCATTCTCCACCACTAAGTCCCTGGTAACCCCTATTCTACTTTGTGGCTCAATTACTTAGACTATTATAAGGATCTCAGGTATGTGGAACCAGACGATATTTGTCCTTTGTTCCAGGCTTATTTCACTGAGCGTAATGCCTTCAAGGTCCATCCACGTGGCAGCCTGTATCAGAATACCATTCCTTTTTAAGGCTCAATGAATAATATTTCATTGTCCACATATGCCATGTGTTGTTGAAGTTTTTTAAAACTTGTTCTATTCCTGACTCACTGGTTTCTCTCTTCACCCACCAATGTTAACAGAAACCATTCCAGTCTTGTCTTTGATATTCCAGGTCCGAAAATGGTTCAGAGAGATCATGAAATCTAAACCTGAGTCTGAGACTTACACACTTTCCACCAGGTTTGGCGCAAACTCAAGACCCAGTGAGGTAAGAGGACTTGTGATTTATTCTAATGTTTCCTCCCTTGACACCCAAAGCCCCCTCTCCTCATCTTAGTATGAGGTCCCTTCCCTGGAGGGTATGATGGAGAGCTCTTTTCCTGATGACCTGGTTTGCATTTCTCATTCTTACCGTATCGTTCCTCAGTTGACCCTTCCCTGATTACTGACAGTGCTTAAGGTGGCTTGTGTATATATTCTCATCATACAAACGAGTAAGGGTCAAACGTGTCACCAGCATAACTACCATCTAACGTAGAATCCTTGGGGGGGAGGCTTAGAATCACAGACATAGAGCATTGGTCATCATCCTCTGAATACCGCTATCCCTTGGAGAGGTGGACATAAGCCCAGTGGTGTTGGCAGAAAGGGCTCCAGGAGAGGCACCTCACCCCAGCTGCTCTACATAATTATAGGAGAGGAGCATATGGAATAATGGGACCTTCCAGGGAGAGGAAATGGTCTTGTTAGAAAGAGGACCTCCATGGAACTTGATAGCTGGTCTTCAACTGTTCCTCTATTGATTTAACTCAGACTCGATGCACCAAGGAATGAGTTTCCAGCACTACCTTGGACCTCTCTGTAGCTGTCCCTTATTTGCCTTTTTGGAGAAATGAGGGAACATACTTCTCCAAGAAGGCATGCCCCTAGATAGGCAAGAAGGGCTCCAAAACTCGTAATCCAAAAAAATTTTCCCAGTCTCATTTGTATGCTCCCATACACCCACCACATCTGCTAGCCAAGGAGCCTTCGAATGTGCTGTTTTTAAAATAAACAGAATTGAGACACATAGTTTTCCACATTCTTTGAGCTAATATGTGATATTCTCAGCACTGGAAATATTGAGTCACTAAAGAAGCATCTATCCCTAACTGGAGGCGAATTCATTCAAAATCTCTCCAAAAGGTCTAAAAGGAAAACAAGACCAAAAAAAAAAAAAAAAAA